CCCTTCGCTCCGACGACCAAGCCGAGCAAATTGCAAGGGTGTGCTAAGTTGAGTCCTCACTGCAATCGCAGGACAAAATTATAAATACGTCCAGCTATCTTATTTATACATTTCCAAAAACTGTAAGCATGTGTATTTCGAGATGTAATTTCATCACAATTTCGTAGTTGTAACTTTAGATAAACTGTCTGGATGCGGCTATTAGATTATTCTTATCTGATTGTTACATCATACCTTGAACCTGAGCATTTTGGTTGTGAGGGAGGAAGTCATTGATCAATTCAATTTAACTTCTAACGAAATTTTTGATATGGAAAATTTTGAACTTCTCTGTAAGAGGTTTGTCAGTTTGTATAATGCTCAGGTATAAGTAAGGACAATTTCATTATTTGTATGATATGTATATTAACGGTAGACGACCAAGTAATCATGATGTGTTAAGGTAGCACAAAGTTAGTTTCTGTAGAGAACCGATATAGAATTCATAGGATAAAATGGCAAAGTTTAGTGTAAATAATTAAAATGTTACAAAAAAATGGCGTAACTATTTTGATCATATTTGTAAATAAACTTTGTCACCCATTTTTCTTTGGTGTTTAATGAGAATATTACATTTAAAGTGCTTTCACAGATTAAAGTAGTACAGTAAAGGAAAGCGGGTGGTATAGAACAAATAGTTATGTAGTTACTGAAATACCATCATGAAAAGAGTAAAACAAAACAGTAACACCGAGCAACCATGCACATTACAGCAGAGTTAGTGAATTTGTAAAAGTTTCCAATAGCGTAATGAACATGACTATTCTGAAAAAAGCGTGAGTTCTCTTTCTGCTAGTAGTTGCTACTATATTCCATGAATTCATTGTATCTGCGTCAGAAAATTATACTGATTCATGTAACAAATAACGACAAACTGACGAAGAGGGCCTCGTTTTTTTTTATGTTAGAGGAGGCAGACGAGCAGACGGGTCACCTGATGGAAAGTGACCATCGCCGCCCATGAACGTCTGCAACTCAGGAGTCACAAACGCGTTGCCGGCCTTTTAGGAAGGAGTACGCCCTTTTCTTGAAGGTTGGAAGGTCGTATCGGTCCAGAAATACCGCAGATGATACTGTACATGTTTAAAAAATAATTACATTGGAGGTTATATTCTTTATGCTTGCTTGATGCGTGTAGATAAGGTTGAGGCTAGGTGAACCAACCAAGCTCTTTATAAAGTAACCTAAAGGACCATTCGTCCCAGAAGGCTCAAATAAAGAAAATAAAATCGCTTCTAATAAAATAGCGATTCTATCGATATACATACATTAAATTATTTCGTTTTTTATATAACATCAACTTAAACTAAAATTTTGTATATATACTGGTGTGATGGTACCTCAAATACCCTAGCCTGAGTAAAGCAGTTTTTCAACTATTACACACGTAGCCAGCTCCCCTCCCTGTGGGGGAGGTCTAACGCTCCTCCATTTTCCGCGTTAGGCTGTAAGACTCGACCCTGACTGGACATCTTCCCACTGGCTTTTAACGTTCGAATTAACAACAAAAGACCGCGGTAAGAGGGAATCAAAGTCTAAATGAAATAATTAAGTACAATTGGTATTGGTTGTGATTGCTTATCAGAATTCCATTCATTGTGCGCTTAAGCTTAGAGTGAGCCAATCAACTTCTACAACTGAATGGTCAAGGCCGCAAGGTCAGACACGTGAATACTGCTCGTCTGATGTGGCATTAACCCTTATGCTACCGGACACAACGCGTGCGCCGACGGCGGACTCGGACCGCTCGATCTCCATCAATTCATCAACAGCATCAGCGCTTTCCCGTAAGCCGACCACAGGATCCGCCCATTGAAACGCCCTTCACTCAAGCACACGGCATGTATCAACCACATCATAAATACTCCACAATAACGGGTCACCGAAGAATAACCGTATAGCAATGACAGCGGCCTGGGTGTCATCCCAGGGTGGCCTCACCTCAGCTATAAATCGATTCACCACACTGAAGAGACCTATAAAGGGTCATAAATCATTCTATCCCATTCAAAGGTACCTTAACCAATACCAAATGCTTAAGTTAATTAAACAGTGACACTACATCTAATTACTCAACTATTACTACGTTACTCAGACCGGAATATAGATACGTATAATATATTAATCCTAAAACATAATAACCAATAAAGACTCACCTAGCGGTCCTCAACGTTCTATATATTTAACTTACTCAATCTAGTTGCAATACGCACGTCCGAGCACGTTTAGCTTTTGACGATCAACCTCCGCCTCCTAGCTCCTAACACCGACCGTCTTGTCCTACGCCTTAAGATCAACTCTCCGTTCCTTCTTTCTTATCGTTCCCAAAAGGACTCCTAACTAAGGGCTTTTCTCACGCTTATTCGTGTGCTGTTTTGCACATGTGCCCGTTCTTAATTGCTATCGTGGACCCTTGGCTATCCCCTTTTTTATGGTATTCGTCTTAAGAACGCAATAAGTCTTTTGTTCATAATGGGCCGTCATTCACTTTGCAATACTTGAGATCATAAAGTTCACTTATTTATTAGGGTCTGCTTTTTGTTCGTCTAGACCTTAAATGCACGTGTAGATAACTTTCTAACATTACTTGTTTAAAATAACATTTATGTGAAGTTTTATAATTACGTGATTGTAGTACTATCACACTGGGAAAGAAAAAATGAAAAACTGCTTCTAATGCTAACAATTTAAAATGTGTGAATAAGTGAATTTGTGAACAATGTATTTTCAAATTTATATTTCCGTTAGCATTTATCGATAGGATCGCAATCCTCGATATCCGCTGCCTGGTAGCGGACGAGTCTACCAATGAGGCATGTTTAGTTCTTCATAGATACTGGCATACCAAGCTGAGATTCAGCCCATCAACCGGTTTCATAAATGCTCAAATGACATTTGGAGACTGAGATGGAATTAATTTATAAACACAATGTTAATTACTGCTAATTAAATTAAAATAAAATGTCAACGAAAAATCTTATACGGACAATTTTTATGTAACATGTTTGTCCGTTAGTATGCCGCTTAAGTATTGCTTTAATGAGCAAATGCATTTTCGGTATTCATCTGCTATGTATAACAATGTTAGATGACCAACAAGGCATGTTGTGTTCATGTAGCACGTGACATGTTTGGATATCGGGTTTATATCGACTCTCGAGGGAATTTACATAATTGTTGTATTAATAATGAATGGCGTAGCTATTTTGATAATAATTTTAAATGTATTTTGTCACCCATTTTGCTTTGGTGATTAATGAGATTATAATATTTAAAGTAGATTCAGAAATTAAAGTCACATAGTAATATAAGGCGGGCTGTTTAATGTAAGTGATTCTGTTGTCATGTAGGGGAGAGTAACCAATATTGAACCGGCGCTTAAATTGGACCACTTCTGTATTTCTTTCAAAATGGCACTATTTTATTACACTAGCAACACAAAAAGGAGCGCTAGGAGCGCCTCTAATACTCCGCCAATTTTTAGCGCTCCTTTTTGTGCCAATATACTATACCAAATAGTGTCATTTTGGTAGAAATACAGAAGTGGGCCAATTTAAGCGCCGGTTCAATATTGGTTACTCCCCCTCTATAATAAAGGTAAAAAACATTAAAGCGATGCAATGACACCGAGTCAGAATGCACATGACAACAGAATTGGTGAATTTGAAATAGTTGCCAAAAAAAAGCCTAATGAACATCACTATTCGGAATAAAGCGTTAGTTCTCTTTCTGGTAGTAGTTGCTCTTAGATATGATGAATTCAAAATATCTGTCACAGAAGATACACCAATGCAACTGAACTAGAGTACTTAGTTTCTATAAAACTGTGTACGTACATAAATTAATTAAATAAATAACAAATTATTTCTATCAAATGTGACGACTTGTATTAGTACTTACAATCTTTAATTAATAAAATTATAACATTTTATGAGTGACTTATGGGTGTAATTTATTGCTCTATTCGAGAACCAACATTTCAAGCTTTAAATGTAGCTGAACGTGATCATACTTTCTGGAATTTCAGCCATATCTACGAACTCTTTGAATTGGGTTCTAGAAATGTTGCTTACTACCACACCAACAGACTCATATTTTGTAACATTGATTATTCTAAGAGGCAAAAGTCTTTGTTATTTTAAATGTAAGGTATATATATATGTATTTGAAGATAAGTTGTGTATAAATTCTTCAACACTTTCATCATAAACATCATCATCAACAGCCTTTAATAGTCCATTGAAACCTCCTTAGAAATGAGGTTTTGGCCTACTATACTACTGGCCAGACGGGTCGGTTTAGGGGTTGTTTCAAGTTTTCCTTCTTGCAGTGCTGTTGACTTACGTATTTTGATCCCTTAGAGGTGGTGACACTCTGTGCTCCTAATCCGTCACGATGTAATTAATATGAAAATGTAGTTCAGTAAAATGTGCGTAAAATATGTCAAATCATTTTGTTTATTCTCTTTTCTTGTTTGTAGTGTTCGTACAACATATGCTCTGTAGTCTTCAAAAGCACAAATATCAGGGACCATTAAGAATACAATAACTTTGTAACTATAGGTGCTAATATCTTGACCAGGATAGATGTAAAGAAATAGATTGTTCAGGTCAAATACACAATATAATTGCAAACATGTGTGATACACTAAAATTCCAGCAATTCAATAACAATAATATTAAATCAATTCGTTGTAGACACTTAAACAAAAACTAGAAAACGTGATTTTTAAGTACTATCTGTGTTATGTCTATAAATAGGTATTATCTATACTACTCACACTTGAGTTATCTGAGAACATCTAAAAAAATATCTAAGAACTGCGTATACAATGTGTTACTTATACAAAATGTAGGCTACGTTTTGATTTTTATAATGTTAACTAAACACTCAAGTAGGCTCATTAATAATATGTATTTATTATTTTAAAGTCTTATAATTTTACTCAAAGTATTGTGGTTTTACTTTTCTTCTGAAAAAGGATGTTTTGATTTACCCGTGGGTTTCAATAGCCACAACTCTAAAATTACAAAAGGCACACAACTTTTCCATGTAAAACTATTTCACGTTACAAATGGTATTATTTAGACACCATAAATTGTTTAACTTTATAAATATTTGCACAACTGTAAATCCACGTTCACAAGTTTTACTAAATGTTATCAGCAATTAAAACACAAACTGTAGCAGCACAATAGTGTAAGAAATCAACAAACAGATAAATCCTACAACAAACTTTACTCCCATGGGAAACTTGTACCATAAAAAGCATTTGGATATGTCGATGTATCCTAAAGCATCGTACACAATGACACGGAGAGATTTATCTGGAACAATACACACACAAGGGTTATAAATAGTATTGTTCGCTGTGGACTTCAAATTGAGAAAGTATCTTTACTGAAAATTTAAGAAAATACAGACGTAAAACCTTGCATGTTATTTACATAAAATATTGATTTGAGGTTTCATTTTAGAAGCTCAGAATCATCAATGATTTTTAAGAATTGCCAGCGATTGTTTCCTACCTAACTACGACTAGTTTAAGACGTCGTTAAACAGCAGCAAGAACGATGGTCGTGCTCGAAGCATCTGTCACTGAAGTAAACTTGGCATCGCCGGCATTACAAGGTCGCTTCAACAACAGTGTGATGTCTATAATGACCTCATAGACGAATGGCAACAACGCTGGAACGAACCATCTTATGGGCGCCACCTTTACCGGTTCTTTCCAACTGCTCGCGAACGGTTGTCGAAGAAATGGCTTGAGGTGGATCACTGTATTGCTAACATTAAGAGCAAACTGTATTCATTTAAAGTAGTCGAGTCACCATTGTGTCAGTGCTCAACATCTAACTCTAACTGTGAACAATCTGCTCATCATATCCTCTGGGAATTTAGTCTTTGGTATAATGAACGTAATAAAATCCTGAATAGCTTGCAGGTAGAGGATTCGATCCCGGGACCCCGCATGTCGGGATCCCGGGATCCCGGTCAATTTTTAGTCCCGAAATTTTCGGGATCAAATGTAATGAATCCCGAGATTTTCGGGATTAATACATTTTTTACATAAGTCATTAAAAATGTGCGTAAAAAGAAACGCACTTGTTTTGATTTGATATTTTGACAGCCATCTTGTCTACACAGCTGATTTCATTTGTTTTGCTAATGACTGGTTCTGGATTATGCGTAAAAGTGTGTAATTTATAAAGTTTCTGAGCAATTTAATTAAAAAATATGAGTAGGTATCTATAAACATTGGTCTCTTAAGCATATAGTTTTTTTTTTTTAGTTTATCTAAATAAGTCTAAAGAAGTTGATTTTTTTAAGTTTATTGTTAGTTTCATAAATTATTTACCGCAACACAAAACAAAATAGGCTCTAGTTTGACTATACAGTATAATAATATAAAGTATAATTTTGGTTAACCGCCTTTTTGGAGATTTAAAACTTAAATATTCTATATCCTCACAAAACTAAATGATAAACAAAAAAAATATTTTGATATGTTTTACTGTCTTTTTGTTACCACTTTCCATGCCAATACAATCCCGGGACTATCCCGAGATTAACTGTAGATAATCCCGGGATTATAAAAATCGACCGGGATCGAATCCTCTACTTGCAGGTGACATCTAGGGGTTTTATACTATGGGGATCTTGTGTCAACTAGGGTGAATTTACGTGCGTTGAGCGATTCTGCCATACTAAAAATCACATAATTCTGTTGATAATGGTGTACAGAAGTTACAGTGGTGGTCGTGTCGGAAGGTTTAGTCAGAATTAAGATCTGTCTCTGTGTCCTGTTAAGTGGAAATATAAGCCGAGTGTGTGATCGTCAGTATGATTTTGGTTCACAATAGTAGTTTGTATATACACTGATATTTCCTACCTATCCCTGGATTTATTTACTAGTGATTGTCCCCATAACGCCATTTACCTTTATAAGTTAACAGCTCATCCACCAAAATAATTTTAATTTCATCCAAATCATTAAAAGCCACCTCCATCAATACCAGTGGTATGCATACGACGAATACACACATAAGACCGCCTCCAAGCCATAATATTGTGTTCAGGTTCTGAAAACAAAGATGATAGTATAGTAAATAATACCTTAGTAATAAATGTTCACAGAATTGAATAGAGAACATCTTTTTATAACTTACCAAAGCCTTTATGATCATAATTCTGTATAAAATAAAACACATCTTTAAAAAGTCTAAGCAGAAGCCCAATAATGTCTGGAATTAGAAAAGAAGATTCTTTATTCTACAACAGTAACATAAAATAAAATATTGTTGTTTACTGGAGATTGAACTACCGCTAAAAACGATTTCAAAAATGTTGAATAAATACTACAATCAAATCTTCGCATTTATGAAAACTGTAATGAGTTTAAAAAAGTAATTATGAGTTGACCTAAGATAACACAGATGCAGAACAAGCTTCCCTGACGGCCCGCAACGTCGCCGCGCTGCGAAGGCCGCAGCACGCGATAGCCGTCAGGATCATAAGGGGATACCGTACGAGCTCCTTTGAGGCAGCGAGCCTCCTAGCCGGATCCCCGCCATGGGACCTCGGCGCGCGGAGGCGGTCGAGCGGGGCGAGCACCTGGTGCCTCGACAGATTGAGCCACGCAGGGCGGTGCTCCGCCAGGTCCTAGTGGCTTAGTGGCAGACGCGCTTAGCGCAACCCACACCGCTGTAGCGGCGGTAAGGCCCGTTCTAGAGGAGTGGCTCAATAGGAGCCACGGCGCCCTCGGCTTCCGGCTGACGCAGGTGCTTACCGGACACGGGTGTTTCGGGAAATACCTGTGTCGCATAGGCCGGGAGCCGACTATTCGGATCGTACAGGAATGGTCACTTTCTCGTCAAAGGCGGCGACACTCGCTTTGACGCTTAGCTACTACAAAATTAAGTGAAATCGGCCGTAATTTCTATACCCGTACATAATCTATACAAATATTATGAGTGTGAAATATTGTTTGTTTGTACCGCTTACATGCCAAAACTACTTAACTAATAACAAAAATTCTTTCACCAATGGAAAGTTACTTTATCAGAGAGTAACATACGCTACTTTTTATCGCCATAACCGACACACGCGCGGGCATAGCTGCGGACAAAAGCTAGCATTAAATAATGCTGATTACAAATCTGAATATTTAATCTATGAATTCCCTCAAACGTTACGTTTTTTTTTCAAAACTCTTCATCACCTTTTTCGACTGCACATTCTGCTGTCATGTATCATGGAATTAGCTTCCTTTGATTGTTATATCATCATCATCATCAACGGCCTTTCATAGTCCACCGCATTTTAGTTCAACTCATAATTAGGTTTTTTAATCTTATTACAGTTTTCAGAATGCGAAAATTTGATTGTAGTATTCATTTAAATTTTTTGTTGTGTGTGTGTGTGTGAAAGTTAGTTTGTTTGTTTGTACCGCTTTAACGCCTAAACTACTAAACTAATTTTAAAAATTATTTTAAAAAGTTTTAAATAATGCCGATTACACATCTGGATATTTAATCTATGAATTATTTTTTTCAAAAATGCGAATTGTCGGCTTTTCCGACACCCACGGGATGAATAGGGTGTTGTGACCTTCCATATTCTAAATCACACAGATATTTTATGCGTAGGTTATTTCATACCATACCTTAAATCTGACCATTTTTGTTGTAAGAGAAAAGTCATTGGTCAATTCAATATAACTGTTAATAAACGTTTTAATACGGAGAATTTTAAACTCTTCTGTGAGATGTTTATCCGTCTGTATAACACTCAAGTATTTTTTTAGTAAGTAAACACATTTTCGGTATTCTTCTGTAATGTATAATAACGTTAGACGACCAATAAGGCATGACGTGTTCATGTAGCACAGCATGAGTTTGTTTATAAGTTCAAAGTCGACGGATAAGTTTAAAACAAATAACTGTTGTAGTAAAAATAAAATTGTTGTACTTAAAACGGCGTAACTATTGTGATCATATTTGTAAATAAACTTCGTTACCCATTCTTCTCTGGTGAATAATGAGAATATTATATTTAAAAGAGATTCAGAAATTAAATTCACACGATACAAAAGCATGGGCGCAAATAAGTAACTGATTTTATGTGTGAATATAAAACACAAAAAAAAGAGCAAAGAGATGCAATAACACCGAGCCACCATGCACATTACAGCAGAATTGGTGAATTTGTAATAGTTGCCAAATAACAGCCTAATGAACATCACTATTTGGAACAAAGCGTGGGTTCTGTTCCTGGTGGTAGTTGCAATCAGATTCCATGAATTCATTATCTCTGCTTCAGTAGATACACAGACGCGTTCAACAAACAGCGTTAAACTGACTGAGACTACAGAGTGTACCTCATTTCAATAAAACAGATTATGTATATTAATTAAACAAATAAAAAACTAATTGTTTTTATTCAAATCTAACAGCATCCATTAGCGGTGACATTCTTTAGTTAATAAAAATGATTGATTTTGTTTATTAATTACTAGCTTTAGTGTATGTCGGTTACTGCGATAAAATGTAGCCTATGTTACTTTGATAATGTGGCTTTTCATTGGTGAAAAAAAATTTAAATCGGTTTAGTGGTTTAGGCATGAAAGCGTAACAAACAAACAGACTTACTTTCTTATTTATAATGAAATTAAATTTATTTACCTTGAACCAAGTACATAGTATTTTACATTATTGATACACTTAGAAAAAAAAACAGAATACACACAAAATCATTGATCAATGACCCCATGCTAGGCAAATCCTGTGATGTGAGTCATCCATTCGTCCGTAATGTATTCATATGTGCTTTAAAAGTGATTGTTGTATATAAAATGTAACCTCTCAACTACATTTGTTTCGCGCCAGGTTTCTCACCTGCAGGCCCCACGGTAAAGTAACGGCTAGGAGACTCGCCGCCTCAAAGGAGATCGTGCGGAACCTCCTTATGACCCTGATGGCCAGCTCCCGCTGCGCCATAAATGCCTCCACCCATACTGGGCCCCATAAAGGGCCATATAAAGGGCCATGGACCGCACACTCCCCGAGTAGAGTCTCCATCCTTCCCTTCTTCTGATTCTTGACAAGGAGGCGTCAAAATACGGCAATGCACTTGTGACTTTTAAGCTGCAGGTGTCCATGGCCGCCGGTAGCCACTTACCACCACGTGACCCGTCTGCCCATTTGGCCTCTTAGACCATAAATAAAGCTGTATTTATTTGTTTCTCGGTCTTTTGAAGAATATGGAGTTTCAGTATTTGTAGAATTAATCGTGTCGCTTTCCCCATTAAATTCCTGAAGCCAACTAGCTGGATACAAGCATTTAGTTCATTAGCGCTATCTTTAATATAGCCTGTGTTGTTACAAGTGTGATATAAATATCCCGATAAGGGGCGGTCACCTTTACACTTATCTAAGTTTATTACACAGTATTAGAGATAATGAAAACATAATAATGTCCTCGGTAGTCGGCCACTGCTAAATGATTTACGAGCTTCGGATTATTAACAAAATTACTTTATGAGTCAAGTGGATCGATGGAGTACTGTTCATTATGGTTTCCTGTTTTACTGATAGTAGTATAGCTGAGAAATTTTAGAGCAGAATCACCTAATGTTTTTTACAGTTCTGACCATAAATAAGAATTCAATAGGTACTCCTGTCCTGTTACCACACAATATCTGATATTTACGGAATGAATTATTAATTATGCATTAACAGATTACCATAAATATATTATACAGTAAACATCCACCAAAATTATGTGCGAAGTGACTGATCTGTATTGATTATATTATACTATATTGATGATTTGATTACATGTTCATGGCTTTTTGTTTACATTTTGTTACAATTGTATTTGTTGTTATGCAGAAATTTTATTTAGATTATAATAAAGATCATCACACTAATTATGTAAGTGTATGAGTAACAGTGTAGAGACATCATAGAAACGGCCATCATTAATATAATTTACATCCCATTTCGTATGTACGTATGTTTTTACGTTTCACTTAACTCCATTTTTGCCAATTATATTAATAGTACAGAAAGAATACGCAAACTGAATTCGATTAACAATTAAAATCATGTTCTAAACAGGGTTCCTACTACACTTTACCCAGTAAATTCAATTAAATTTATTATTCCGAAATAGGATTAATGTATAGCAAAACAGATCTCAGAACAAAAAATATCTGAAAAGGTGTTTTGCTGGAATTTCCTTAATACTTAATTTTTTGACGAAAATGAATCGCCAATATCCGCAAAAGAATTACTAAAACATTTACTTCAAATCTCGACTCGATAATAAAAATTTCCTAACTGAACATTTGAACAGTCTAATGCCAATGTAATTATCGAAAATCTTCATATTGAAATAAAGCTTTCGTGAGTGATATTCGTTCCCCAAAACACATACACATACATTTATTCTGGAAACTGAACCATCAATAATGAAACCTATTGCTAATCTTATGCTGTATACAGAGTGAAATCATTACGTTCTGACAATGTCATTAATGATGCAAATGTATACAGTTGTAATTAAAAAAAGAGTGGCCGAGAGTTGGTTTGCCCTTTTTTTTATGTTACTGTATCCGTCTGTAGCAGACGGGTCACCTGGGCCTCAATTCTGCTATTTTATGTTCACGCCAATCCACTGTCATACTGACACGCTATTGAGATGCCATCTAGTCGCCATTGGCATCGGTATAAATATCGGTAGTCTACACTAACTCAGTGTCTTTACAGTGGCGATGGAATGGCAGTGGCTCATCAGTGGTGACCATCGCCGCCATGAACGTCTGCAAATCAGGAGTCATAAACGTGTTAACTTTCTTCTTATAAGGTTGGTATCGGGTGGTTGTATATCGCCACAGCCAATGGATTGACTTTATTTTGCTAAATATTTGACAAAACACATTGTTGCTATTGTGTGTTGATCTATGACTCTAATCTAAGAGTCTAAGACGATTTTAAATAAGCTTTTTTTTACGAAATAAAGATAGTTTGAGTTTGAAAGTTATCAAAATGCAAACCAAAGTTATTTATGTTATGTACTGTCTATTAAATTCGTGAGTACATTTATGTCCATCTCATCATCATCATTACAATCATCAGCTTTTAGTAGTCCACTGCTGGAAATAGGCATCTCCTTAGAAAGGAGATTTTGTCCTACTATACCACGAAGGCCAGATAGGTTTTATAGGGTTTGTGTCAAGTTTTCCTTCTCTTTGCAGTGCTATTGCATACGTATTTTGGCCCCTTAGTCCGCTCTTAGGACACCCACGGGATGAATAGGGGTGGTGACACTCTGTACTCTTAATCCGTCACCACACAGAGAGCATACACTTTCAAGCATAGATGTAAAGTTCAGTAGCTAATATCTTGACCAGGATAGATGTAAAGAAATAGATTGTTCAGGTCAAATACACAATATAATTGCAAACATGTGATACTCTAAAATTCCAGCAATTCAATAACAATAATATTAAATCAATTCGTTGTTGACACTTAAACAACAACTAGAAAACGTGATTTTTAAGTACTATCTGTGTTATGTCTATAAATAGGTATTATCTATACTACTCACACTTGAGTTATCTAAGAACATCTAAAAAAAATATCTAAGAACTGCGTATACAAGGTGTTACTTATACAAAATGTGGGCTACGTTTTGATTTTTATAATGTTAACTAAACACTCAAGTAGACTCAATAATAATATGTATTTGTTATTAAAATGTATATTTTAAAGTCTTATAATGTGTGTCTGTAATTTTACTCAAAGTATTGTGGTTTTACTTTTCCTCAGAAAAAGGATGTTTTGATTTACCTGTGGGTTTCAATAGCCACAACTCTAAAATTACAAAAGGCACACAACTTTTCCATGTAAAACTATTTCACGTTATAAATGGTATTATTTAGACACCATAAATTGTTTAACTTTATAAATATCTGCACAACTGTAAATCCACGTTCACAAATTTTACTAAATGTTATCAGAAATTAAAACACAAACTGTAGCAGCACAATAGTGTAAGAAATCAACAAACAGATAAATCCTACAACAAACTTTACTCCCATGGGAAACTTGTACCATAAAAAGCATTTGGATATGTCGATGTATCCTAAAGCATCGTACACAATGACACGGAGAGATTTATCTGGAACAATACACACACAAGGGTTATAAATAGTATTGTTCGCTGTGGACTTCAAATTGAGAAAGTATCTTTACTGAAAATTTAAGAAAATACCTTGCATGTTATTTACGTAAAATATTGATTTGAGGTTTCATTTTAGAAGCTCAGAATCATCAATGATTTTTAAGAATTGCCAGCGATTGTTTCCTACCTAACTACGACTAGTTTAAGACGTCGTTAAACAGCAGCAAGAACGATGGTCGTGCTCGAAGCATCTGTCACTGAAGTAAACTTGGCATCGCCGGCATTACAAGGTCGCTTCAACAACAGTGCGATGTCTATAATGACCTCATAGACGAATGGCAACAACGCTGGAACGAATCATCTTATGGGCGCCACCTTTACCGGTTCTTTCCAACTGTTCGCGAACGGTTGTCGAAGAAATGGCTTGAGGTGGATCACTGTATTGCTAACATTAAGAGCAAACTGTATTCATTTTAACTAGTCGAGTCACCA